CTTGGGGACAACGCAGCTCATAGAGCAGCGGCGTGTGCCGCACGTAGAGCATCGGTTTTGAGTGGCGGGGATGTTGTCACCGCTGTTACCGCTAATGTCACCTCCTGACCCCGCAGTGTGACCTCATCTACACCTTCTTCCACCCCCTGCCCCGGGATGAGAAGGCGGCTGGAGCCAACACGACCCCGAAGCCGGCAGGTGGGGCAGGGGTGATTTTGGGGGGTGATTTTGGAGGGTGACGGCAGGAGGTGACACCAAAGCTGTCCCATCCCTCCCGTCCCCCTCTCCAGACGCCACGTGGGCTCGATCCCTGGGCAAGGTCGGCGGGGAGGTGAAGCTCTCCATCTCCTACAAGAACAACAAGCTCTTCATCATGGTGATGCACATCCGAGGGCTGGTAGGAGCACGGCACGCACGGGGACGGGGCGGGGGGCTGTCCCCTCCCTGCTCTCACCGCGTGTCCCCGCTCTGCCCCACAGCCACTCCTGCAGGACGGCAACGACCCCGACCCCTACGTCAAGACCTACCTGCTGCCCGACCCCCAAAAAACCACCAAGAGGAAAACCAAAGTGGCCCGAAAAACCTGCAACCCCACCTACAACGAGATGGTAAGGGGGGGACGGGGACGGATTTGGGGCGTCCCCGCGGGCGGCCGCGGCTGAGGGTTTGTCCCCCGTTGTGTCCCACAGCTGGTGTACGACGGGATCCCCCGGGGGGACCTGGAGCAGCGGGAGCTGCGGCTGAGCGTGCTGAGCGAGGAGGGATTTTGGGAGAACATCCTGCTGGGGGAGGTGGGAATTCGCCTCCGCGACTTGGACCTGGCCCAGGAGAAGATGGGCTGGTTCGCCCTGGGCTCCCGCGGCCACGGCACCCTCTGAGTCCCCCCAAACCACCCCGGGACCCCCGGGTGTGTCCCCAAAAGGGCGCTGCCCAGGTGGCTTCTTTTTTTAAGTTTACCTTGTGTCAAGGGAGCAACGCGGGGCGGGAGGGGCGTGGTCACGTTACGCACGACGTCACCGCGCACCGCGGGAAGCGGGCAGGGCGCGTGCGGCGGCTGTCAGTCAGGGGAGGCCACGCCCACATAGTTTGTCAATCAATGGCAGGACACGCCCTCTCGCATGTCAGAGAGCGGTGGTCCAACTGTCAGTCAGGCTGGCTGTCACGCCCCCTTCCTGTCACTTGGGGGATTGACCACGCCCCCGCCTGTCACTCAATGCACAGGCAAGGCCCCATCTGTCACTCAAAGTCTGAGGCCACCTCCTTACATGCCA